CCACTCATCTAAGCTTTGCTGATGATCTTCTACTGTTTTGCTATGGAAATATGGCTTCTGCTAAGCATACTCAAGGCTGCACTTGAAAAATTTTCTGAGTTTGTCTGATCTCCAGCAAACCATGCAAAGAGTCAGATCTTCACTGCAGGAGTGCATAATTCCACTAGAACTAATATCCAGCAACTGTTTGGGTTTCCACCAGCCAACTCCCTGTGAGGTACCTTGGAGTTCCACTTATATCTACTAAGCTAAGAGAGGGGCAGATTGTAGAAGTCTTGTAGACAGAATGCTTGCTAAAGTGAAAGTTGGACTTGAAAATGTCTCTCATATGCTGGAATTGCAATTGATCAAATCTGTTCTCTTTGGCATTCAAGTTTATTGGTCCTGGTTGGTTTTTACTCCCTAAAGCACTATTAGATCAATTTGAGCAGATTATGAATCCTTCTATGGAGGGGTGCTTGATTTGAAGCATACTGGGGCCAAAGTGGCTTGGGGAGGTCACATACCCCAGAGGAAGGAGGGTTAGGACTCAAAAGAGTTTGAGGACTGGAATAAAGCCATTATGGCTAAGCACATATGGAACTTAATGCAGCCTGTTACTAGCTCAATCTGGGTCACCTGGGTTAGAGCTTCTCTTATGGGGAACAGAAGCCTTTGGGATCTCCAGATTCCCCAGGACAGTTCATGGACATGGTCTTAAGCTTAGAGAACTTATCAGACCCTTCATCAAGTTCAGAGTTTGGAATGGGAAAATGTCTTCCTTTGGTTTGATAATTGGCTCCCCACTGGGCCTATTCTATCCATTTTTGATGAGAGAGTCTATTTGGAGCAAGGCTGCCAAGGAATGCTAGAGTTAACAGTATCATCCAAGACCAACAGTGGGATTGGCCACAGTCCAGATCACATTTGGTAATGGAGTTGCAGCAGAGTTTGCCTTTAGGCTTTTGTCCTGTAACTGGGAGGCCTGACTCTGTCCTATGGATCCCTTCTCCCAATGGTTTATTTCTCTACTCATTCTACCTGGGAGGCCATTAGGCAAAGGAACCCCCAAGTCAGCTGGCACTCAATTGTCTGGTTTACTCATATGGTTCCAAGAGCTTCTTTTTTCCTCTGGCTTGCTATTAGAGAGAAGCTTGGTACTCAGGACAGTTTGTTTCAATGGGGTATTATTACTAGAGTTAGCTGTGTATTTTGTAGAGGAAGCTGTGAATCCCATGACCACTTGTTTTTCAATTGCTCATTCACAGAGAGGGTTTGGACCACCATTGTCTTACAATGTGGGGAGCAGTGGAGATGTGATTCCTGGCAGAATACAATCATGTGGGCAGAGCAAGTGATGAGGGCGATAACTTGAAAGCTACACTGATGAAACTCTCTCTTGCTCTGCAAGTTGCCTCAGGGTATTATCTATGGCTGGAAAGGATGAAAGCTACATAGGAACAAATTACAGGGATGTGGTCACAGTTACAAAAGGATTACTGATATGATCAGAAGCAGAGCTTCAAGACTGAACAAAATCAAGGCTACAACTCAGAACATACATCTTCAAAAGCAGTGGAATCCCCAGAATCCATTTTTGAAGCCTCCTCTAGCTGATGTTTGCTTTGTTATTTTTTTGTTGCTAATTTTGGTGTGGATGGTGAGCAATCTGTGTGCTAACAGAAGGCTTCCCATCCACCTGGTCCCTTTCTTTTCTTTTTGCTTACTCTCTTGTAAGTTTGGCTTTCCTTTGTTCTCTGCTAGCATTGTATACAGCTCTTTGATCTATAAAATTCAATTGACTGATAAAAAAAAACCTATCTTGTTCTAACCTTCCCCTAGAGAGGAATGACAACAACAAACTACCGAGCTACCTAGCTACTAGGAGGAGGAACTACAATCTATAATCTGTTCGAATCTAGCCTAATCTATTCTTAACTTCAGTAAAAGAGATAGAGAGATATATTACCATTCCCTTCTGTCCTTAGCTATTCGACTAGCAACCAGATAGAATACAGTCTTTACGTCCTAATCCATTCTTACCTTCCCTCTTAAACCTTTAGGAAACCTGGGAAGCCATTAAAAGAAAGCACTTGGAAGCCAGCAAGAGAGAACTCAGGGGGAGAGAAGCGGTGAGTCCTTACTCAACTACCAGTAAGTTAAGGAAATGAAGCTACATCCTAAGAGCAGGAGATTCTATCTATCCTACATGCCCTTAGCCACCTGTCTTTAGCATCCGGACGATCTAATTGGTTCTTCTTTATCCTATCTTGATATAAACATACAGGAGTGACATCCAACTACAAAGAACAAGAGCAAGAAAGAAGAGGACATCCAATTAGTTTCTATTCTGTCCTTATATGAGATTACCTTCAAGCAAGAACAACCAGAAGAAATTCCTCCTTCTAAGGCAATCTATCTTATTATAACCCTTAGGAACAGCCATGAAGCTAGATGGCTACCTTATCTTATATTATAGAGCTCTCAGGCAAGGAAAGGAGAAAGAATTTATCTCATCGCTAGCTAACTGCCACTCATCCATTCCCTTCTGTACTTCTATTCTATAGCTATCACTTGATAAATAGAATAGAAGAGGGTCTCATTAGTTTCTATCTTCATATAAACCTATAGGAGCTACAGGACGATAGGACGATGTCAGAGAATAGTCCGCTAGAACTCAAGAAAAGTCAAAGGTAATTACACGAACTCAATACCAATAGAGAGGAGGATGCTATGACTTATCCTAGCTACCCATTCCTTTCCTTACTACATGAGGGAGGAAGCTAAGAGCAAGAAGGCTAAAGTCCTAACAAGAAGATCTCTCGCTTCGACTGCCTTGGGGAAGCCCACAAGAACCATGCCATAGATAGAGGTGGAAGAGGGGAAGACTTGATAGATATAAAAGAGTATGTTCTATCCTAGCTTGATATAAACTTCAGGAAAAGAGAGCTAACAGCTAATTAGTTCTTATCTAGCCTAATACATTTACATTCTTACCTGCAAGAAATAGAGATAACAACAAGGAAGACTTACTACACGTGCTTAACACAGGAGAGTCGAAGAACTACCACTCGTAAGAACAGTTCTGGCCTTACGAGTGGTAGTTCTTCGACTCTCCTGTGTTAAGCACGTGTAGTAAGTCTTCCTTGTTGTTATCTCTATTTCTTGCAGGTAAAATGTAAATGTATTAGGCTAGATAAAGAACTAATTAGCTGTTAGCTCTCTTTTCCTGAAGTTTATATCAAGCTAGGATAGAACATACTCTTTTATATCTATCAAGTCTTCCCTCTTCCTCTATCTATTGGCATGGTTTCTTTGTGGGCTTCCCCCAAGGCAGTCGAAGCGAGAGATCTTCTTGTTAGGACTTAGCCTTCTTGCTCTTAGCTTCCTCCCTCATGTAGTAAGGAAAGGAATGGGTAGCTAGGATAAGTCATAGCATCCTCTCTTCTATTGGTATTGAGTTCGTGTAATTACCTTTGACTTTTCTTTGAGTTCTAAGCGGACTATTCTCTGACATCGTCCTATCGTCCTGTAGCTCCTATAGGTTTATATGAAGATAGAACTAATGAGACCCTCTTCTATTCTATTTATCAAGTGATAGCTATAGAATAGAAGTACAGAAGGGAATGGATGAGTGCAGTTAGCTAGCGATGAGATAAATTCTTTCTCCTTTCCTTGCCTGAGAGCTCTATAATATAGATAAGGTAGCCATCTAGCTTTCATGGCTGTTCCTAAGGGTTATAATAAGATAGATTGCCTTAGAAGGAGGAATTTCTTCTGGTTGTCTTGCTTGAAGGTAATCTCATATAAGGACAGAATAGAACTAATTGGATGTCCTCTTCTTTCTTGCTCTTGTTCTTTGTAGTTGGATGTCACTCCTGTATGTTTATATCAAGATAGGATAAAGAAGAACCAATTAGATCGTCCGGATGCTAAAGACAGGTGGCTAAGGGCATGTAGGATAGATAGAATCTCCTGCTCTTAGGGTAGCTTCATTTCCTTAACTTACTGGTAGTTGAGTAAGGACTCACACCTTCTCTCCCCCTGAGTTCTCTCTTGCTGGCTTCCAAGTGCTTTCTTTTAATGGCTTCCCAGGTTTCCTAAAGGTTCTAAGAGGGAAGGTAAGAATGGATTAGGACGTAAAAGACTGTATTCTATCTGGTTGCTAGTCGAATAGCTAAGGACAGAAGGGAATGGTAATATATCTCTCTATCTCTTTTACTGAAGTTAAGAATAGATTAGGCTAGATTCGAACAGATTATAGATTGTAGTTTCCTCCCTCCTAGTAGCTAGGTAGCTCGGTAGTTTGTTGTTGTCATTCCTCTCCTAGTGGGAAGGTTAGAACAAGATAGGTTTTTTTTTATCAGTCAATTGAATTTTATAGATCAAAGAGCTGTATACAATCTGCTTAGCAGAGAACAAAAGGAAAGCCAAACTTACAAGAGAGTAAGCAAAAAGAAAAGAAAGGAACCAGGTGGATGGGAAGCCTTCTGTTAGCACACAGATTGCTCACCATCCACACCAAAATTAGCAACAAAAAATAACAAAGCAAACATCAGCTAGAGGAGGCTTCAAAAATGGATTCTGGGGATTCCACTGCTTTTGAAGATGTATGTTCTGAGTTGTAGCCTTGATTTTGTTCAGTCTTGAAGCTCTGCTTCTGATCATATCAGTAATCCCTTTTGTAACTGTGACCACATCCCTGTAATTGTTCCTATGTAGCCTTTCATTCCTTTCCAGCCATAGATAATACCCTGAGGCAACTTGCAGAGCAAGAGAGAGTTTCATCAGTGTAGCTTTCAAGTTATCGCCCTTCATCACTTGCTCTGCCCACATGATTGTATTCTGCCAGGAATCACATCTCCACTGCTCCCCACATTGTAAGACAATGGTGGTCCAAACCCTCTCTGTGAATGAGCAATTGAAAAACAAGTGGTCATGGGATTCACAGCTTCCTCTACAAAATACACAGCTAACTCTAGTAATAATACCCCATTGAAACAAACTGTCCTGAGTACCAAGCTTCTCTCTAATAGCAAGCCAGAGGAAAAAGAAGCTCTTGGAACCATATGAGTAAACCAGACAATTGAGTGCCAGCTGACTTGGGGGTTCCTTTGCCTAATGGCCTCCCAGGTAGAATGAGTAGAGAATAAACCATTGGGAGAAGGGATCCATAGGACAGAGTCAGGCCTCCCAGGTACAGGACAAAAGCCTAAAGGCAAACTCTGCTGCAACTCCATTACCAATGTGATCTGGACTGTGGCCAATCCCACTGTTGGTCTTGGATGATACTGTTAACTCTAGCATTCCTTGGCAGCCTTGCTCCCAATATGACTCTCTCATCAAAAATGGATAGAATAGGCCCAGTGGGGAGCCAATTATCAAACCAAAGGAAGACATTTTCCCCATTCCAAACTCTGAACTTGATGAAGGGTCTGATAAGTTCTCTAAGCTTAAGACCATGTCCATGAACTGTCCTGGGGAATCTGGAGATCCCAAAGGCTTCTGTTCCTCATAAGAGAAGCTCTAACCCAGGTGACCCAGATTGAGCTAGTAACAGGCTGCATTAAGTTCCATATGTGCTTAGCCATAATGGCTTTATTCCAGTCCTCAACTCTTTTGAGTCCTAACCCTCCTTCCTCTCTGGGGTATGTGACATCTTCCCAAGCCACTTTGGCCCCAGTATGCTTCAAATCAGCACCCCTCCATAGGAAGGATCTCATAATCTGCTCAATTGATCTAATAGTGGCTTTAGGGAGTAAAAACCAGCTAGACCAATAAACTTGAATGCCAAAGAGAACAGATTTGATCAATTGCAATCTTCCAGCATATGAGAGACATTTTCAAGTCCAACTTTTCACTTTAGCAAGCATTCTGTCTACAAGACTTCTACAATCTGCCCCTCTTAGCTTAGTAGATATAAGTGGAACTCCAAGGTACCTCACAGGGAGTTGGCCTGGTGGAAACCCAAACAGTTGCTGGATATTAGTTCTAGTGGAATTATGCACTCCTGCAGTGAAGATCTGACTCTTTGCATGGTTTGCTTGGAGATCAGACAACTCAGAAAATTTTTCAAGTGCAGCCTTGAGTATGCTAGCAGAAGCCATATTTCCATAGCAAAACAGTAGAAGATCATCAGCAAAGCTTAGATGAGTGGTAAGTGTCTTCTTGCATCTCCAATGAAAGCTGAACTGGTCACTCTTAGTGAACTTATCAGTGATCATAGTAAAGACCTCCATAGCAATTACAAACAAGTAAGGTGAAATGGGGTCCCCTTGTCTTAACCCCTTAGCCCCAGGAAAATCTCCCTCTAGTTCACCATTGATGCTGACTGAGAAAAGTGGAGAGGTGATGCAGGACTTAATCCATTGAATGAATTTAGGAGGGAATTTGATTAACTCTAAAGCATCAAGCAGAAAATCCCACCTAACTGAGTCATAAGCTTTCTTCAAATCCACTTTGATAGCACATCTGGGAGAGATGTTATCCCTATGGTAACCCCTCATGAGTTCTTGAGCAAGCAGTATGTTGTCACCTATCCTCCTACCTTTTATGAAAGCAGCTTGAGCATAGCTAATGAGATGAGGCAAAATACTCTTCACTCTGTTGGCCAGAATTTTTGTAATGCACTTTTACAGTGTATTACAACAGGAGATTGGTCTATAATCACTCAACTTAGAAGGATTGGGAATCTTTGGTACCAACACAATAATTGTGGAATTCATTTCTCTGATGAGGCACCCAGAGATGAAAAAGGATTGGATAGCCCTCACCACATCCTCCCCCACAATGTGCCAAGTTCTTTTAAAGAAAAAGGCATTAAATCCATCAGGCCCTGGGGCCTTGTTAGAGTGCAGGCTAAACAATGTGGATCTAATCTCCTCCATAGACACTTCCTGGATCAACTGGGCAGCTTGGTCTTCACTGATAACCTTAGTTATAAATGGCCTCATAGCAGCCTTCCCTGGATAAGAGAGAGAGCATGGGGATCCAAGGAGGTCCTTGTAGTATCCAACAACCTCAGCTTTGACTTGGTTGTAGTCCTGAAGCATTGTTCCATCCTCTAGCTGAACATAGACTCTTTTTTTTATGTTATGTTTATGGACCTAAAGAAGAAACTTTTGTTTTGGTCTCCTTCTGATAGCCCCAGCTAATAAAGTTGCGAGATTTCTGCAACTAAAAGGATTCTTCATTGTGCCTAAGCCTTTCTCAGATAGGGTTTCTTTCTCAAGCTGCTGGAGTTGACTGAGATTGGACTGGTGCTGCATGGCTCTTTGGATGTCATGAAGCTTCTTCCTCATCTCATTCACTCTACCAGATATGTCACTGCATTTCCTCCTATTCAAATCTTTGAGGGCAACCTTTACTAGTTTAAGCTTCTGGATAACTTGAAAAAGAGGGTAGCCTCTGACCTCAGTTTTCCAGATCTCACTTACTTAAAGTATCAAATTCAGTACTGATCAGTATAGGAGGCCCAAAAGTGGAAGAATTTGAATGGCCTTTTTCCCTCTCTAAATTCAATTCCTGTTCTAACCATAATGGGGCTATGATCTGAAACTCCCGGGGGTAGAAATTCAGCCTCAGCTCCAGTGAATTTAGTCTTCCAGGTGTCATTTATCAAAGCTCTGTCTAACTTCCTCTCAATAATGCCAGATCCAGCTGCCTATTAGACCAGGTAAAAAACAAACCAGAGAATCTGAGGTCCTCTAGTTCAGCATCCTGACAGCACTCGTCAAGATGTTCCAGCCCAGAATTCCATTCTAAATTCCCACCCCTTCTCTCCTGAGGGAATCTGACAGCATTGAAGTCTCCTAAAACCACCCAAGATTCATTAATAACCCTGCATGGTATTTCAAATTTATCCAGAGCGGCTCCCTTTCCTCTTCTTTCTTTTTTCCATAAACAAAGGAGGCAATGAAGTTTATCCTCTTCTCAATAATTGTGATGCTTAAATGTATTACCTGGTCTGTGCTGCCAATTTGGTTAAGTTCCAAAACATTGGGATCCCAACTTATCCAAATTCTTCCATTTGTGTGGCAATTATAATGAAACACAAACCTCCAATCCTTTAACAAAAAGAAAGAAAGATAGGGTTTCAATCCTGAGTGAAGTAGCTAATTGAATAGTGCTGCTAGGGGGAAGCTTAGTGACTCGAGGAGAGAGAGGTAGGCCCATTCATACGAAGGCTATGTCAATTGAAGCCAATTCGGCTATTCCTTCTGTTGTGCCTGCGTCGGCTGCTGTTCAAAGATTAGAGACTATATTCAAGAATCCCAGAGCTTGAAGCGTAGGAGATCGGGTTGATGATGCATGGATGGTAGATAATCCATGTGCCAGCAGCCGCGGTAATACAGAGGATGCAAGCGTTATCCGGAATGATTGGGCGTAAAGCGTCTGTAGGTGGCTTTTTAAGTCCGCCGTCAAATCCCAGGGCTCAACCCTGGACAGGCGGTGGAAACTACCAAGCTGGAGTACGGTAGGGGCAGAGGGAATTTCCGGTGGAGCGGTGAAATGCGTAGAGATCGGAAAGAACACCAACGGCGAAAGCACTCTGCTGGGCCGACACTGACACTGAGAGACGAAAGCTAGGGGAGCGAATGGGATTAGATACCCCAGTAGTCCTAGCCGTAAACGATATCCTACTGAGTCACACGGTTGCATACATGGAAAACTTGTGTCGGGTATAGCAAGAAGAGATAGATCCCCCCTCGGGTGCAAGGTCCGGCCACACTTCCTACGGTGCAAGTCCAAAAAAAGTGTATCGGTGTGTGGAGCTGGCGGTGCAACACCAAAAGTCCACTACCCAAATAAAGACACATGGTTTTGGTTATATAAATGATTCATTTGATGGGAAACATCTAGAAATGAATTGATTTTTATAGACACATGAATTGTTTCAAAATGATCTTTGGTTGTATTTTATCAAAGATAAACGTTTTTACACACATGCCTTGTGTAGTGTTGTGAAAGTCGGAGTAGGCTTGGGTGAGGATGCATAAGTGAGTCTCATCTCATATCATGACATGACATGATAGGAATTTCATCTTGAATAACATGTTCTTGAATGAAATGAAGTTATGTTAGTGATTGTTGCATGAGATCATTGCATATACACTTCGGTGGGGAGTAGCCTTTGTAGGAAATATTCTACTGGGCGTTGGCTCACCCTATACGAAAAATATTTCAGGTGCAGGGTTAGCACCGATTGAGGACTTGCACTCGGGGCCTCAAGGGTAAAGAAAAAACCGGTTTGTGGCTTTAGGAGACAAATTTTTGTAAAACTTCGGTTTAATTTCCATTTTGATATGTAATTGTGTAAATGGTTTGTAATAGAACTCGTAGATATCAAGTTTTATGCGATAAATATCATTATATATGTTTGAAATAATGTTGGGGTGGTTTGGAATGGATTGGACATGAAAAATAGGTGAAACGGACAAATCTGGGTAGAGTGTACCGGTACTGTGTACCAGTACCGTATGGTCCAGAAGACAGAGCATACCGTACTATCTATCCAGATGGTAAACCGTATCGGTACTGCGTACCGGTACGCTTTTCCAAATTTTAAAACTGAATTGCTATGCCTTTGGACTTTGGTTCCTTGGTTCCAATGATGTGTTTGGACAATAAAGTGGCATGATTTGTGGTACTATGAGCTACGGTTAAATTAAATGATAAAACACACACGGGTTACACCTGTAAGTTAAAATCTCAGGTAAATGGATACTATTACGTGATGTCGGATTATGCGGCACTCACGGATATTTTTGCAGGTTGACGGTGGTTAATGGGACCCCCGGTTTTAAGGGCGTCACAAAAAGAGTAGGATAAAAAGGCATATCTTATTTACTTTAGATCCCGAAATCATTGTAGAATGTTCCACATATTTTAAATATGAAATCAAAACCTTTTTCTGCTT